GTATAACATTATTGAGGGGAAAGGAAGGCTTTAAATTAATAACCATAATAAGTGTTCACCAGAAAATCTGTAGTGTATGATTCTTAGGGAGAGAGGATATGAGAATACAGACTTTACAGAGTAAGACAAACTGCTTGGGGGAATGGAGAGATCAATCTAACGGAATTAAAATAGGAGAGGAATGAACTTGGGTAAGGTCTGGGCATGTTCCGTGCTCCAAAAGGAGAAAAGCTGTCTGGATTCCTCCCCATCTAGGAGGAGCCTAGAAGCCAGAGAACTTAACGAAGTAAGACTGACCTTTAGATTTACAGTTGAATACATCTAATCTGATTTCACAGACACTTGTGTAAAAACATATCTCCCTATCTGCTTACAGCTGATGAAATTATTTTAAAAGGAAAAAATGCCTCTGTTTCCTTTGACACACACAAAAACGGCATAAAATGAAAACTTTGTTTAGGTTTTGTTTAGATTTTACTACAACATCCTCATTCACTGAGGACTTCCCTCTCCTGCAACGCAGGAAACCCCAGTTTGATTCCTGGGTCGGGAAGATCCGTTGGAGAAGGGATAGACTACCCACTGCAGTATTCTTGGGCTTCCCTTGTGGCTCAGCTGGTAAAGAATCTGCCTGCAATGTGGGAGATCAGGGTTCAATCCCTGGGTTGGGAAGATGCCCTGGAGAAGGGAAAGGCTACCCACTCCAGTATTCTGGCCTGGAGAATTCCATGGGCTGTATAGTCCATGGGGTCACAAAGAGTCGGACATGCCTGAGCGACTTTCACTTTCCCTTTCCCTCACTTGACCTCTTGAACTCAACTGTCATCATGAGTGACTTCAGTGCTCAGTCACAATCTGACTTTAACTCTGCAAATAGGAATTACCTGATGAACTTTTAAACAACACTGACATCCAGATTCTAGCCACAAAGATCATGACTTCATTAGCTAGGGAGGACCCATTCACTGGTATTTAAGAGCTCTCTAGCTGAATCTAATGTACAGTGAGGACTGAGAGCCCTAATTTATATCACTGATCCAAAATCCAACCTCAAAGTTCCGTTAATCTCAACTCCAATAACCTTCACCCACCCTCATTCCTACCACATACACTGAATTTCAGTACCCAGAACTGCTCCATTTTGGAAACACTACATTCCAAGATATTGATTACTTATCTTTCCACCATACCTTATCTTCAACCTCACAGAGACTTTCCTGTCCTTCAACCTCTACTGCTTTCAATTCACTCTCTGTCTCACAGCCTTATTCCCTTTCCTAATCAGTCCATTCCACATAACATATTACCTCAATAATTCTTACCTCCCTGGGTCCATCACTCATCTTGCAATCTTAAATCAATACAACTTGCTTTCACTACTCCCAAATCGGTGCCCCTACAGGAGTTAAGCTTACAGAGCCTCAGCAACCGTGTTTTTGAGCATCTCTGGTCAGGAGATCCCGACACCAGCTACGCAAAAGCTTCACTCCTGGCCTCAAGCCTCCCTCTCCCTCCCCTGCTTTCAACAGATGACCTTGCCACCTCTTACTTCAGAGAAAAATAAAGGCCTTGAGATACGAACTTTCTCAAATCCATTCTCACACAGACAACAAGATTAGAGGGTCCTACCCATTGGTCTTTTGTTGTTGTTCAGTCACCAAGTCATGTCTGACTCCCTGCAACCCCAAAACCACAGCACGCCAGGCCTCCCTGTCCCACACCATCTCCCAGAGTTTGCCCAAGTTCATGTCCATCCAGCCATCTCATCCTCTGATGCCCTCTTCTCCTTTTGCCCTCAATCTCTCCCAGCGACAGGGACTTTTCCAGAGAGTCATCTGTTCACATCAGGTGACCAAAATACTGGAGCTTCAGCATCAGTCCTTCCAATGAGTATTCAGGATTGATTTCCTTTAAAATTTACTGCTTTGATCTCCATGATGTCCAAAGGAATTTTAGGAATCTTCTCCAGCACCACAGTATTTTAGGAATCTTCTCCAGCACCACAGTTTAAAGGCATCAATTTTTTGGTGTTCTGCCTTCTTTATGACCCAGCTCTCACAACCATACAAGACCACTGGGAAGGCCATAGACTTGACTATATGAACCTTTGTCGGCAGAATGATGGATCTGCTTTTCAACATACTGTCTAGGTTTGTCATAGCTTTCCTTCCAAGAAGCAACTGTCTTCTGATTTCATGGTTGCAGTCACCATCCGCAGTGATTTTAGAGCCCAGGAAGAGGAAATCCGTCACTGCTTCCACCTTTTCCTCTTCTATTTGCCATGAAGCAATGGGTCTGGATGCCATGATCTTAGCTTTTTTAATATTTAGTTTTAAGCCAACTTCCTCACTCCCCTCCTTCACCTTCATCAGGAGGCTCTTTAGTTCCTCTTTGCTTTCTGCCATTAGAGTGGTGTCATCTGCACATCTGAGGTTGATATTTCTCCTGCCTCTCTTGATTTCAGCTTGTGACTCATCCAGCCTGACATTTCTCCTGATGTGCTCGGCATACAGGTTAAACAAACATGGTGACAACAGACAGCCCTGCTGTGCTCCTTTCTAAACCCTAAACCAATCAGTTGTTCCATACCAGGTGGCTAAATGTCACTTCTTGACTCGTGTGCAGGTTTCTCAGCAGACAGGTAAGATCATCCGGTATTTCCATCTCCTTAAGAGCTTTCTACAATTTGTTATGATCCACAAGTCAAAGGCTTTAGTGTAGTCAATGAAGCAGAGGTAGATGTTTTTCTTGAATTCCCTTGCTTTCTCCATGACCCAGCAAATAAGTTGGCAATTCGATCTCTGGTTCCTCTGCCTTTTCCCTTGTGGCTCAGCTGGTAAGGAATCCGCTTGCAATGCAGGAGACCTGGTTTTGATCCCTGGGTTGGGAAGATCCCCTGGAGAAGGGAAAGGCTACCCACTCCAGTGTTTTGGCCTGGAGAACTCCATGGACTGTATAGTCCACGGGGTCGCAAAGAGTCGGACACAACTGAGCGACTTTCACTTTCACTTTCCTCTGACTTTTCTAAACACAACTTGGACGTCTGAAGTCCGTGGTTTGTGTAACACTGAAGCCTAGCACGCAAGATATTAATGATGAACTTATTAGGAGATGAGTGCAGCTGTCTGATGGTTTGAACTTTCTTTAGTACTGACCTTCTTGGGAACTGAAATGAAGATTGACCTTCTCCAGTCCTGTGGCCACTGCTGGGTCTTCCAGATTTGCTGATATATTTGAGTTATGACACTGATAAACTGATTCCTATCTTAAAATTCACTCCTCCCCATCTTATTTAAACCAGCTTCTTTGCTTAGCAATAGCCTCTGGGCAGGTCTCCTGGCTTTCAATTTTAACAGCTCTTTAAGCCAACTCCCACTGCAGTGTGTTCTATCATTAAGATATTCGTAGCATGTACACACAATGCAGAATAGTGTCATAAAGGTTTTATGTTGTAACTTTCTCCATGATTTTATCATCAGTATTTCCCATTGTTATCTGAAACTATATTTCCACATATAAATTTCTGTCTACATTTTAAGGCTCTACTAAGCTCTATAAATGTTATTCAACACTCAAAATTGTTTTGAAGATTAGGAAGTTTATACCTCACTTACAGTAAGCAGGCACTAGCTAAATAGATAATCACAATAAATTATCATTTAAAGGAAGTCATCTTCTCTCTAAATATACCTTATTTTATAATCTGAAGCCATGTAAATGTGTTACAGAAGCTTTCATAGTGGCTCAGCAGCAGAGACTCCAGTATTTTGCCTGGCAAATCCCACAGACTAAGAAGCTTGGTGGGCTATAGTCCATAGAGTCACAAAGAGTCGCACATGACTCAGTGGCTAAACAACAACAACAAATGTGTTACATTTTAAAAAATCTAACTAGAAAAGAAAAGAAAAAAGTAAAACAAACCCAAAGATATATATTCAGTTAATGGCATAACCACACAGAAAATCCTTTTAAGTATCCCAAATTTCTAATAGGATATATCCATACGAGAGTAAGTGACCTAAAAAAAATTGTTAAAAAAATAATCCGTACCTTTTCTCATTGCTGCATTAGTCCTACATTTTGTTTATCACTTGTTTATTCCAGGTAAACTAAAAAATAATTCTGTCAAGCTGAAAATATTTTTAAATTGAGATATTTATTAGAAACATCAAGTCTATAAATCAACCTGGAAAAAATGACATTTCGTAATAATTAAATCTGCCCCTTCTGAAATATGGTAGGCCTCTTCATTTTTTCCACCTTAAATCACTTTAGATCAACCCCAACCTAAGCTGTAACCTAGCAGAAATGACAATCATGAAGGTGATATCACCCATCTAAGAGGGTTAGAGGATTTACTTACAGAAGCAAAAAACAACTAACATATAAACAAATATTTGTGCCGTCTGATGCTGTATAATGAATCCGTAATATACTCATATACCATCACCATGAGCCCAATCGCCCTAAGCAAAAGTTTGACAGCTTCTTGACCTTCTCCAGATCCTCCCTTGGATCTCTACAGAGGATTTTGAGAGACAGAGAGAACATACACCCATTCAATAAACATGAGTGCCTACTATGTGCCAGGTTATAAACACAGTGCTGGGAATAAAAAGCAAAACAGCAAGCTCCTTGAGCAAAGAAAAGGCCTGGCTCAAATCACGGACTCCCAGAGAAAGAAAGAGAAAAGCAGCGGAACAGCCAGAGCCGCCTGCTGTCCCTGAGCTGCCCTTGCTTAGACACTCCTTGTTAACACATGGTCTGCGTGTTATCACATCTTGCATTTTCTTTACAAATTACATTCAACACAAGCCCTCCCTTTTAGAAATTTAAATAAGAAATATAAACTATAGATTTTCTACATAAACAAAATGATATCTTATTTTCAAACTTTTGACTTTTAAAAGCTTGATCTATCCCCATTTCAACTAGTTTTGACAAGAGAAAATTCACTTGGACGCCAGGTTTTGAATTATTCTAATGTAAGAACAACTTACACTGGGGTGACTTCGAGGAGGTACTCTTTCTCTTGGAAGTCTTTCATAGTCATATCGTCCCTCAGACCACATTTCATCTCCTTTGTAAGCCACTAAAGAATAAAAAAAGAAACCAGAGAATAATGGGTTTTAGGTTACTAGGAAGTAAGTAAGAAAATGAAAAGGTAAGTTATTACATTCTGATACAAATATTTTCTAGAGACACTTAAGGGGGAATAAATGTAAGTGATCAAAAGAAAATAGAATAATTACAACAATTCTTCAAAAATAATTTTGAAATTTTCTTTAAAAAAAAAAGTAATAAAAAGTCCCACCTTTCTTCAATTTCCAAGGCTATGAAAAGCTTCAAAGACCATATTCCCATTAACTATGGGAAGATTCATACTACCACCAGTTTTCCATTCTCAAGGAGTGAAAATTAGAAAAGATTCATTTCAATGAGTAGTATGAGAGGCTTATCAGCAAAGCTGAATGATGTGTGCAACAGCAGCTTCATCTTTTTTACATCCTTAAAAGCTTACTGTCTCTGTACATCCAAAGAAGTGGTTTTACCTGGAAAAAACACTAAACAATCCTGTGAAAACATACTCAACAACCCCTGAAAGAAACCACTCTTGATTTTTTTTTTCAACTCTATAATCTCATTTCAATGCCAAGGCACCTTTGTAAAATTTGAAATTAAAAGTTCTGCCAGCATTCTTCACATGTGGGGATGCAAAGAGAGACTCCTACTTTGACAGAGAGCTGACACATTCTGGGTAGAGAGCTAATGCAGTGTGATAGAGTCCTGATGAAAGAGCATCTGTGAACAAGATGTAAGTTATTTACATAAACGTTGATGCCATGGTTGAGTAGCTGGCAAATGTCTCTGTAAAGGACCAGACAAATACTTCTGGCACTGCAGGTCACAGGTCTCTGCTACAGCTGCTCAATTCTGCTATTTTATAACACGAAAGCAGTCACAGGCAACATATATCAATGTATGGGTGTGGCCACGCTCCCAAAACATTCTATCTACAAAAACAGGCAGGTAGCCCCAGAGTAGATGACAAATGTTTAACAGGATAGAACTGGAAGAGGGTAAAGTACTCATGGAGAAGTACAGATCTATGAACCATCCTGGTGAGTAGACAGATGATCTTGAGGAAGAAGCAAAATAGGACAGGTACCAAGTTTGGGCCTTTTAGTACACAGAAAACAAGGCAACAAGTCCACACACACAGTCCACAAATCCGTGAAGAAGAAAAATATTTCAAAGACACACATCAAGAGATTTTTGGTGGTTCTTTATGATGAAATACTAAGGAGGAGAAAAAAGAATGGACATCCCGTTTTGGCAGCACAGGACTGTAATATTTTAGGTTAGTTTAGGCTAAGGGAAAAATAAAGTCTGGAAGATGAGGGCAATATTTTTTAACACTACCATAGTACAATCAAACTTAATTCTCTCTGTAAAAAAAAAACAAAAAACTATAATGTGTTCTAATACAAACAGACCAAATAAAATTAACTAACCAAAGGTGCCAGGGGAAATCTTTTAAGTTATAAATTAGCTTTTACTATTATGCATAAATTAACCTTAATTCCAACTCTATAATCAGACATTATTAACAATGTTATTTCAAAGTAAACAGTCTTTCAGGTAGAAGAATTGATGGAAGCTTAAAAGGAACTGTCAACATTACTTCTTCTCTCCTACCTTCAGTAAAAAAAGTTTCAGTCTAAACAATGAGTTAGGTTTTATCCTACTTAAGATAACAGTACACAGAAACAGTAACAGCAACAAACTGAAATCAAATCACAGGGGGAAAAAAAACACCCAGCTACCCTAAAGAAAAACAGATATATGACACAGTTCACAAAAAAAAAGGAATGCAATTGCTTAATCTTTTGAGAAGATGCTCACCTTTCTTCAAAATAAAGATGAAAACTAAAACTATAATGGTGTACCCAAAGCTCTGCAAAATCAAACTGTTTTGATGAAAGTAAGAAAAGTGAAAGTGAAAGTCACTCAATGGTGTCCAACTCTTTGTGACCCCAAGTTCTATACGGTCCATGGAATTCTCCAGGTCAGAATACTGGAATGGGTAGCCATTCCCTTCTCCCGGGCATCAAACCCAGGTCTCCCACATTGCAGGTGGATTCTTTACCAGCTGAGCCACCCAGGAAACCCAAGAATACTGGAGCGGGTAGCCATCCCCTTCTCCAGCAGATCTTTTGGACCCAGGAATCAAAACCAGAGTCTCTTGCATTGCAGGCAGATTCTTTACCAGTTGAGCTACCAGGGAAGCCCAGGGTAAGGAAAGCAACATTCATGCATTAATGAAATATAATTTGGAACAGACTAGAAACAATTTGACAGTATCTATTAAAAATATTAAATATACATATGCTTTTGACTTGGCAATTCCCATCTACATATACTTGTCCGTGTGCATGGCAAAGACTGAAAGTCACCTAAAATGTCCCTCAGGAGGGTACAGATTAAATGAAATATTATACATTCATATAAAGTAATTCTATGCAAACCATGTCAAGGAAAAGTAATATCATATATAACAACATAGAAAGACTGTCAAGATACACCGCTAAGTAAAAAAGAGCAAAGGGGAGACTAACATGTAGAGTATTCAGACACCTTGGAAGTAAAAAAGCAGGATATGAATACACACATGCTATGCACAGACTACTCCTGGGAGTATAAGCAAAAGAACATAACCGTGCCTGCCTCTGGGGAAAATGAGATGGCTGAAGTATAGGAGGGTAAATATTTTCACTGCATGTTTTACACACTTTAATGTTATAAAAACAGATAATTGTTTTTAAAGGTCCTGAAAATCATTCAATAAATAAAATATGTCAAGTGATGGCAAAAATTATAAATTAATGAACTAAAGGAGAACATAAGGAAAAGTAAGATTTTGTAATTAATGAGGAAGAAAAACTACAAGAGCTCTAAAGAAATACTATATAGTTTCTTAACAAGATGCAATACTAAATTACTGAAATCTACTGGCTTCCCACACCAACAAAAATGTATAAATAATTACTATTCTACTTACTTGAGTCCTTTCAGGAATCAAATTTAAAGTTGTCAACCATTTCTTGTAGGTGAGGGGGAATACAGACGTAAGGATTTGTGTCTGTACATACCAATAGAGAAATATAATTAAACTTCCATTCATTTGTACAAGCTCTCAAAATAAAAAATTATGTGCTTTAATAAGCAAAACTCCCTTCAAACACAGCTTTGAAAATAGAATATATTATTTTGACCACCAGAGGCCACTCAAGTTTCATAATAACAACAAAATTTTGTTGTCAAGAAGATTTCTAGTCCTAATTTTGCCAACTGAGAGGTGGACAGGGTATCTCTCTTATCCTTTCTCTGAAAGGACTGCACTAGATGCTGAAGGTCATTTTCCCCCAGAACACTAGCTTTAAAGCATCTCACATATTGAAAGAAAATCTGACATCCTTTTAGTCTGGAAAACCCTACATTTTTATATTGGTAATAAATGGTCCCATGTTCAAAAGTAATCCCAGTATCAAATCAATAATCATCAGCTCATCAAAGAACACTCAATTTATTAGGTGTAAGTTTGAAGGAAAACTTTTAATGACTTTCCCTCAAAATATACAAAGTACATTGAGCAACCTTACATAAATATGAAAAAAGAAAAAAGGCATATATGACTTATGATGAAATTTGCAAATATCTCAAATATTCTTAACTTTTAAAAAAAGTAACTAACTCTACTCAAGGCTCTAGCTGTACCTACCACTTTGCATGAAATTCAAAGGACAGAGGAGTGGGTCTACTAGAAAGATTAGGCTCACCTAATTTCTGTACAGAAATTTTGAGAAGTGCCTCACTAGCTAAGTGAAGAAATAAGACTGTATTTATAGTCTTAAATTTATAGGTCACTCTTGATCTCTTGATCTAGTTCCCTTTTATTGCCTGGCAGTTTGGAAGACGAAAAACAAAAATTTTATTGCAATTACCTCACAGTCTTGCTACTTTAATTAATCAATCCACAACTTACAGAAAAAAAAGCAGCAAACAAAGTGAAAGTAATTAACTTTGATGAAGCCCAGCAACTGGAAATAAAGCAGCTAGAACAAAGCAAAAATTAAGAAACATAATCATACAGAAAGTAAAAATAGCACTGTCTAGAATATACATCATCAAGAGACAAGAGACCAGTTAAATTCCTTTGTAGAAGAGCTGAGTGTAACGAAATGAATCATGGAGTTAAAATCCAGAGACAGGAAACAAACTTAAAAGCAAATTTATTAGATAGATAGTTACTGTTTAATAGGTATATTATTTCAGTTTGGGGAGATGAAAAGCACTGGGCGGTGGTGATGGCTGCACAACAATGTGATGTACCTAATACCACTGAATCCTATGCTCTAATGGCTAAAAAGGAAAATTTTGTGTATATTTTATTACAATTTTGTAAAAAAATTTAACATGAATTTATCCAGCATCAAACTCTCAACTGAATTTGCTGAATATATCTCCTGTAAGGCATCAAACTGTATTCTGAACTTAATTTCTACTAGAAACAAACAGCATCCACAAACAGCTAGATATTACACTACTATTACCAAAACTTCAACTCCTACAGTGAAATCTATGACAATGTTGCATATTTGACTTCATACCTAATGATGCCCCAATATTTACCTTATTAGGTGCTATAAAACAGTTTCAAGTAAAACTGGTAAATAAAGTAAATTCTCTTTACTTTAAAAAGTTGACAATTTTTTAAAGATCTTAATTTAAAATTTCAATTACTGTAATTATAGGAATAATTTTATAAAAGGAAATTAGTTTCCTTTACAAATAAAAATACATATTTGTCTATATCACTGTGAATAAATATAAACATTAGCCTATAAAGCAATCTCTTATAATCAATTATTTCACTTTTTTTAACTTATTTCTTACTAGTGAATACACCAAAATATTAATATTTTTAGTGAATATGCAGGTATTTAGCTTTTAAACATTCTCTTCCCATACCTATTGCTTTTATAAAACAGCAATAACAAAATATAATCTTTATTATCTAAATTACTACAT